GAAGCATGACCTGGAGGAGGGGGTGGGAAGGGTGGGCGGGTGCGCAGTGGGGGCAAATGCTGGTGCAGCAGCCGAGGCAGAAGATGTTCTTCTCGTTCTTCCTCCGGCCCTCGTGGAGTCCACAGCCCACAAAGAAGCTCTCCTCCACCAGTCCGCCCAGCCACCCCGGCATTCCTCCTCCTCCATACTCTCTTCTTCCCATACACACACACACACACACACACACACTCTTCTTCTCTCCTTACCCAACTCCCTCTCCCTCTCCAGAAATAGCTTTGTTTATAGAGGAACAGTTCTTTACTGCTGGTTTAATCTGAGCTCAGATGATCAGAGGAGAGAAGTGATGCAGGAAGGAAGGCTAACGTAGTTGCTGAGTCTATATATAGAGGAGGATAATAGATCAAATGAGGAACACAGGGGAAACAGAGACATGCATAAAGAAAGACATTGAGAGAAAATGATGGGCGGATCAACCAGAAGCGCAAACACATTGGAAGTTGGGTTTATTATCATTATTATTATTATTATTATTATTATTATTATTATTATTGTGTATGGAATGGAGAGTTGCAGGAATTGGTGGGGGATTCAGAAAGTCCACTACTGTTTCTTTGTACCGTTTTCCGTGCTGTCCTGCCTGGCTTTTCCCCTTCAAAGAAAGATCAATATGGGGTCGTAGAAACCAAAAGGAAAAGGAGGAAAAAAGACCTTTGTTTCCTGTTGCTTCCTTTTTATATTTGCTCTCTCTTCTTTGATTTCATCTGACATGGTTTGCAGCTGCGTGTTATCTTTCCTCTCGAGAAGTGCTCTGTACCTTCTTGAAGAAAAAGGAAGCGTTTCAGGCACCTTCGTTATCATGCACTCCCATTAAACACTCATTCCTTTTGTTTGTGGTAAAACCATTAAACATCCTGACAGCACCAGCCAGCCAACCCTTTTGATCTGGTCAAACCATCTTTTTCAAGGCCCCCTCCCGCCAAAGATGGGCCTCCTCACCAATACGATCTCTGCAAGAAAACATGTTCTTGATGTCCTCTCAGTGAGCTTATGAGCTGCTGCTACAGATCTTCTTCAGGTTACGAGAGTCCTTCCTCATGAATGAATCTCTTTGACGAGAAGAGTTGTACACAGGAGGTAATCTTCACGCAGAGATTTCTGTGGGGTTGGAAGCACTTTAGTCTCCACCATGAGAGTGACGCCAAGAACGTGGTGAAAGCTCTCAAAGCAGACGATGGAGATCTCCGTCTCCAAAGCTCATGACTGAAGCTTGGAGGGGACTCTAACGCCTCAGAGTTTGACTCATCTAAGATTAATGCTCTTTTGAGAACCCTAAACGATTCCTCTGCAAAAATCTCTGGTTGGATGTTCGAGGTGGTGAGAGGATACACGCAGCAACGACGCTTCCCACTTGAGATCACCTCAGCATTTACTTCCTCGGTAACACGCTTTGACTACCTTAATTATTTTGGCGCATAATAATTACTCTCAGCAATTCAACTTACAATAATTCATTCTTTATATTCTTTAGTTCTTTTTAGTATCACGAGACTAATCTCTAATCCATTTGTTCTTGCAAGGAGAGGAGATCCTGGGATGAACACTGGGGTTTACTGCATCACACACGTATGACTCTTCTTATTAACACTACCAAAACAAAGAGAACAACATCCGGTCCACCTCAAGGACATGTCACAGTGAGAAGAACTCACTTATTGGGACCCACAGTGGCTTATACATAACACAGCAACTCCATTTGTACAGTGATACACCAGCAACTACTGCTGTTGTTGGATCAGCAGTGCTTGTTGCAGAGGCATCCCATGGTGTACCCCTCGCAGTCGCCGCTGTCGAAGCCTTCCCTCCGGCAAACCTTGGCACAGTTCTTATCGGACGTGCATGGCCCTCTGAAACCTATACTGGGCAACCTGCAGATCTTCGCCTCCACGCTCTCCTCCTCTGCATCAAAACTGCATATGATTAAGCTGGAACTTAACACCACAGAAACTTCTGTCTTCATCTATGACTTACGAGAAGCCAGGAGGAGAAGTGCCAAGAGGAATGCAACGATGGTTGCCTTCTTGATCTCCATGGGGATCAGGGTGAAGCTGTACCAGAGAGTTATGGTGGCTGCATGCATTTACAGATCATGGAGGAGTGAGCGAGCAAGGAAGTGCATGCGGCAGTCTCTCCACCCTTCTACACGTAGGGACCTGCATGCATGCAACTGTTCACCATTAATGGTCACCTGGGTCGGGCTTGCCGAGGGTTAGGTTACAACCGGACAACAGGAGTGAGTGACGACCGGACAAACATGAACGAACTCGGTGATCTGATCTGCGTCCGGTGGTCGCTTGTGGGTTCTTAGAGCTCAAAACCAGATGAGGTAGATGAGATGGAAACACAAACCTGTTCCAAATTAATGTCTACCGCATGCAATCTCAGCTTGCTTGTTGTGTTCTATAAATAATTAAAGAAGTAATTCTCTAAAAAAATTAAAGCGATGATGAAAAAGGTGTTTCTTTTCTATGGTGTACTATTTATATATTAATTAGTTTCTATTAGTTCAAACAGCTATCTATTCCCTACTGGTTAGTATCTATCTTATTACCTGCTTTTGGTCAAAATTAATCTTAACTATATAATAATATTAATCCCCAAAAATATGAAAGAATGATGAAAAATAGCATAAGACTTCCCCTCAAAGTTTTAAAATGAACCACATTCTAAATTTTAAAAAAACTTTAAGAAAGGAACTGCAAAAGCCAACTATGGATCTTTTCCCATGATATCTAATAAATAGTTTCTTTCTTTCAAAAATTAAAAAAAGACAAGTGAAAATATTTGAAGGACTACCATGCAAATAACATATGCCAACGGTAACGGTAGGCTACTAGATCTATTCTCTTTCGAGTTTGGCAGCCGTCTGATGGGGGCACTATGGTGTTGAGGGCCGAGACTTTAGGTAGCGTGAAAGTTTCTAACTACCGCAAAAGTGATGTGGCTGATCCATCGCTACGATATGGTAACACTATCGTTTTGTACCCGACATATGAAAACTATTTTTAGTGACCTTTCATCGTTATCTCAACTTCACATAATCATGTCCATTGGACAATATTTGTGCACCTATTATCATATAAATAATGTGGTAAATAAGTGTAACAATACAAGCATAATAGTCTAACACTGGTCGATAATAGAAGGTATAATGGTTCAATGTTGATGAATGGTAGTTATGATCAATTCTTTTGTTTTTGTTACCGTACTAATAGTGTAATAGCCCTCCCAAACATCCACTATAAAAGGGATCACTCGGTACACTCAAAACAATCTAAGTTTGACTAGTTTATTTAGATTATTGACTTCAATATTGAAGGGGTATTATCAAAAAACACCATCGATATAGTTTTACAGGGTTTAGCCATCCGACTCAATGAGCTCTACCTTGAGAAAGACTTGAAAAAAGGTAAGGTTGTATCCGAGTCGACTTCCAACTTAAACAACCAAAATTTACTCTAACAAATTGGCGTTAGAAAGACGACTGACTAGTATATATCAAGAAAACCTTGTGGGTCCATCTTAGATAAATCTTGAGGATTTAAATCCCCTGAACCTCAACAGATCGAGTCTAATGGTCTAAAATGTTTCTTTGTGGATCCCAAATTCTAACGATTAATGATCCTAAATTAGGGAGAACTAGGAGTGTCAGCCACTCTAAATCCCCTCCCTATATCGAACCATAAACTTTTTTGATAGTATTTCCAAGCTCAACCTTTATCTAATCTTTTTCTATAGCTCTCTAACGATGAATATTCATGTAGAAACCTTTCTTACCCAAATCCAACAAATATATATTTTAATTGAAATAATCTAAATCGTTGCTCTCTACCTTCCTCAACTTGCTTATTAAACCCCACATACATTCACTTCGTCAATCTTGACTCTTACTCTATCACCATTTCCCATTCCTAATGTGGTAGTCGAGTCTTACCGGATTTATGCCCAAGTACCACCAGAAGTACATTCTCCATCATTGGCCCAAAACTCAAACCCTTCGTTGGAACTAAAATTCCTAAATAAGTCGATCGTTCAATCGACCAACCTTCCGACCGAGGTCTGAGACTACCTTAATAAGATGGATCAACAATTAGAGGATATTTATAGAGAAATAAAATAAGGGAAGAAACGATAGATGGACTTGTATCTACAATCCCCTTTTATGAAAGGCATAAGTAAAGAACTAATTGTTTAGGGATTCAAACTTTTTTATGCTAAACATCTACGATGAAAAATTTGACCCCTTATAATATATTACGAAGTTTATCTCATAGATACTCTCTATAGGATTATGGACTACCTTATGTGTTAGACTTTCCCTATGACCCTTAGCACATGAGTGGTTTGTCAAGTTCTCCCCAAAGTCAATCTTCCCCTTTAAACATTTGACTAAAAAATTCGAGCTTTAGCTATAAACTCTTAAAGAGGCTTAAAACTTCTCTTCTGGCCATACTCTTAAGAGGAAAATGAATCTCGTATCTTAATGGCAGGGGGGTGGGTGGGTGTGTGAATTAATTCTATAGTAATTTACCTATTTTAAAACCTAATCGAGAAATTAATATATCAAAAACTTGATTTATTAAGTATTAAGTATATTTAAAAGTTACGAGTAAAGATAATAATGCTAAGTCACAAGTAAAAGATAAGCAAAGAGAGATAAACCAATTTTATAGTAGTTTTCTTCTCGATCTATATCCACTCTTGATTCATTTTCTTTTCAGGTCATTAATTTTCACTAATAATCTTACTACCAATGGTAAAGATCGATGACCCCTTATAACTTTTTCTTTTTTAAGTCTTAGGAGAGAATCTTAACATTTATTTTTTCTTACCAAAGGTCCCTCACTTTTTATATTTAATATTACAACCAAACTCAAGAGGAGGATGAGACTTAAGTTATACTCAAATAAGAGTTTATAATATTTTAAAATCTTAAGAATAAATGCTTCATCAACTAAGCCCGAGTGAGGTATTTATCGATACAAAAAGTTTTAAAAATATAATAAAATATTTAAATCTAAAAAATTTTGGGATATGAGCGATACTATGACTAAAATTGGGTGGTATTACTATTATAACTTTTGAATCAAAGCTAGAAAACTGGACTCTAGTAGTCCTACCACTACAATATTTGAATTTTGGATGGTACCATCGCTATCCTAAGCGGTACTACTACCGACATAAATAGTACTATCATTGACAAAGCTGACTATTGGCTGACTAGCTTGGCGGTACTATCACCTAGGCTTGGCGATACCACTACCAGGTTTGATTTAACCCTCTAAT